TGTCAATAAAGGGCACATGGACAATTTAATTAAGCATGATTCTCAATCTAATATGTTAAAAGATAGCTAACAAGGAGTCGCTAGAGATGACAACGGTTCGATTCGGGGTCGGTTCGCCCAAAACATAATCGTACCAACAAATTTTTTGTCATTTCATAACCACGTAAGTCAGTTTGGTTTGGTTCGATTCGGTTCGATTAATAACCACGAAAATAAATTATTTTTTAGAACAGGTTTGAGGTTTGCAGTTTCACTTAAAAAAAATTATGAAGAAAAGTTAATGAAAACAAAAAACAATACTAAGCCAATTTAGGAAACAATATCCCAAATGAAAATGCAAACAATATCCCAACTTCCAAATGTAAAATTCGAATTTAACAAACAATATTATCAACATAGGTCAAGACTCTTACTAGCATAGGTCAATATTCCATTTTAACCGCATAATTTACTACAGTTTATAAACCTTAGGTCCATCCTGAGTGTTTCTAGCTTCCAATACCAAAAAAAGTTACAAGAATGAGAGTGAAGCCATGCAGTGAAAGTAAACAGAGCAAACAAGGATATAAGCTGATTGAATGAAAGTAGAAGTTGAAGATAGAAAATATACTCAACAAACGAAGAAAATAGCCGAAGAATTGCAGATTCCAGAAACTGCAGACCATACAAAATACTAGGTTTTCTTGGAACTTTAGAAACAAAATGAGACCAGTCCAAGTCAAACTACACCTAAATTTTATCAGATTTGACCAGTTTTTTGTCAAAAAGTTCACTTGGGAAAAAGAGAATGTTCTGTATTTCACAGGGAATCAATAATTAGGCCATACAAATAAGCCAAATGCATTCATATTTTCAAATAGCTTCACACGTTCTCAATAAAACTCATACTTAATCGACACTTCTCATCACCAAGGAAAATGTAGCAGATTAAACGAGAAATCTCCAAAATCTAATAGAAAAAAATGTTAGATAATTAGGTTTTATCTCCGGTGAGTACACAACAGATAAGGAAAATGATTTTCCAATGGTTTGGAGGCAAAAATCTGTTAGCACCGATTTTGGATTCGCACATTGACGTGATGGAATCAAAAATCGGCAGACGACCGTCGACTGCTTTGAAATGAGGATTTCCAATTTTCAGTTTTAATGTGGTGAATGATTTGATATATGGGTTAGGGTATAAATGAATTGGGTTGGACTAGTGGGTAATGGGCTCAATTTTTTAATTGGGTTTGTCCAAAAAAAACAAAAAACAAAAATTATCCAATTAAATTTTTTTTCTAGTGGGTATGTCCAATTAAATTTATTTTTTTTAGTGGATAATCGGTTCGGGGTGGGACAACATTGTTAAATATCATACCCGCTCCACTACGAATCGGGTCATTAAAATCAAAACCATAACCACCCCATTGTACCATCGGTTTGGTTTTTTTTTGCCCCATTCGGTTCGGTTAACCGCGATTTTCGATTTTCACAGTTCGAATTGCCATCCTTAGGAGCCACTATATATCATTCTCCCAAAAAGATCAAACCATCACAATATTTAGAAGGAAATCTATAAACACTCCCCTCATTAAAAGAAGAAAGACATGCAATTCAAATATCACCATCTCAAGTAACTATTTCTCTTATTGAGCATCAAGATTAGAGAGTTTAGGAAGTGAAAATTAAAGATAGCTGAGTAGGATTTGTTGATTTTGTTTGTATCATCGACAGTGACAACAAACTAATTTTTTTTTGTTTTGTTATTTTCATGTGTTTTATATTTTAACATTTCATTTTCTTTAATATTTTAATTAAGATAATGGGATGACCACTTTTTAATATTTTAACCTACAATTAACTAAGTGGATAACGAAAAATGATTCCAATTTATCCATTCTGATGATGACGCCTATTTATCAAAGGTTGGGTACATCTTTGCCAAAATAATTGATAAGAAATAAAAGTGCAACTGATCTCAAAGGTTAAAAATGTCCGTGATTTACCACTAGGTTAATTACAATTGTGGCCATTTGAATTTTGAGTAATTACGTAAATGATCATTAAAAAATTAATGTTAAATCCTACATGCATCGTTTGGTGTCAATATGTTATCAAACGGTGTTATTTATTATGTCAACCCAGCAAAATTAAAGAATTAGGAATTGAGAAATATAATGTGACTTTAATTTTGGTCAAATTAAGGAATTAGGATCTGAGAATTAAATATATTCAGATAAGAAAATGTAATGTGGCTTTAACTTTGGTCAAATTTTTGGCTTTAAATGTATGTTAAAACGCACATTTTAAATAATGATTTTTATTATCTTGGTGTAGTGAGTATAGTCATTGGATGATAGATTGGTATTTAATGTCGTCACATAGAATTTAAGTTAAAACTTTTTTAATCATTAGTATAATGCAAGGAACTTGAATTAGTATTACAATAAGGGATCGTTTGATTCAAAGAGAGAAAATTGGTGGAAGGAAATGTTTTACTGGAAATTGAATTGCCTAAAATTTGTTTTACTGGGAATTATAATTAATCGTGTTTGATTGGTATAATTTTCCACCTGAAAAATGTTGAAAGTTTGGTGTCCATTTGACTTTGTTTTTCATGTAAATTGTCCATTAAAGCGATAATTTTTTCTACCATTGGGTCTAGGAATTTGTTCCACTTGCAAAAAAAATTATCATACCGAATATCATTCGTTCGACTTTGTATTGCATGAAAATTGTCAATAAAAATGATAATTTTTTTTACTATTATGTCTATAATTTTTTTCAATTGTAAAAAAAAAAAAAAAAAACTGGAAAATAAAAAACCAATCAACCCAAAAGNTTTTTTCAAATTTAAAAAAAAAAAAAAAAATACTGGAAAATAAAAAACCAATCAACCCAAAAGAAAACAATTTCCTTGAAATCGTGGAAAAGGGGCGCGTGAGTCATCATGGTGGAAATTGAATTCCTAGAAAAATTTGTGCTATCAAACAATGGAAAAATGTGGAAAAGGAAATTTTTTTTTCCATATTTAATGAAAAACATGGTGCATCAAACAGGTCTGAGAAAATTGAGTAATGCTACTTGCAGTCGCTCACTGCAACAGTCGCCCTATGTGGCGCACACATGGCATGTAGTTATTTGATACATTAATGTGGTAATTTTTGACCACATTTAATTCATCAAATACACACTTGACATGTGTATGCCACCTAAGACGACTGCTGCAGTGAGCGACTGCAAGTAACATTATTCGAAAAAATTATTACAATAACTACTTGGATAATTACTCAATTTCAGTGATGGCCGACATAATTAATCGTTGAACCTATTTTAAGGTATTAATTTATACTCAAAAATACCTGAATATATTATATTTTCATCACTTAGCCCATTTTATTCAAAATGTATTTTTTCAATCATCTTTTTAATCTCACATTCTTTAACAAAATAATATTACACGTAAATTTAAATTTTTTCCTTCTTTTAACCATATATTCTTTAAAAAATTAATGTTCCAAAATACATTTTTTTTTTTTTGCAAAAAACACGTTTTACAACCTATTTGGTATTTATTTAAATCAAATTTTAATCTAAATTAAACAATCAATATTAATTACATATTTTATGGGTCTCACAACTTTTTAACTACACATTTCAAAAACTTTTATTAAAATCTACTAAAAATCTAATTTTAATCCCCTACGAAACCGAATATTAATGTAGCCCATACTCACAATAAAAGTGAAACATGTTGAGAGCCTTTTTATTTCTTATAGTAAGAATGCATTTTGGAATAGTAAATTGATGGAAGTTAAAAAGTAAAGAAATTTTTTGAATTTACGTGTAATATTATTTTATTAAAGAATATATGATCTAAAAGAAAAAAGAGACAAATGCATTTTGAAAATAGTGAAAATCAAACATGGGCTAAAGAAGTGTTTTGGGGATGCAAGCATGAATACGTTATTTTCGCTTTTGTATATATAAAAAGGGGATTAAATCCAACAAGGATTGTGAGCCAACTTTATACTTTGTGTTATCATGGTCACTCAATTTGATTTTGTTTCACCATAGTTACCAAACTTTATATTTAATATCACCATGGTTACCAAATTTAATTTTATTCATCATGACCATCATATAACGTTTTACCATGCCATCCAATTTCATATAATATTTCACTATTATCACCCAACATCTTTTCATCGTTTTCATTAAGTTTAAAATTGGTAAAATTGTAACTTTACATTATCTATATATAAAAAAAATTTAAATAAAAACTTATTTTAAAAAAACGTTACTTAAAAAAAATTATTTTTTAAAAATACATTACTTTAAAAAAATAAAAAAAACTTATTTTAAAAAAAAGTTACTTAAAAAAATAAAATAAAATAAAAGAAGTTTAAAAAAGAAGTTTCTTACAAAAATAAATAAAATATAAAGTTATTTTAAAAAAAAGTTCCTTAAAAAAATAAAATAAAATAAAAACTTATTTTTAAAAAATTTAAAATAAAATAAAAACTTATTTTAAAATAAACATTTTTAAAATTAGAAAAAACCTTTTATTTTTGCTTTCTTTTTAAAATTTATTTTATATATATATATTATACAAAGTTAGCATTTTACTCATTTTAAAATTAATGAAATGGTGAAAAAAAAATTTGGTGACCATGATAAAATAAAATAAAATTGGTTGACTACGATACTAAATATGAAATTGGATGATGTGACGAAACAAAATCAAATTGAGTGATAATGATGACATTAACAACCTATTTGATCCACGTTCTTATAAAAAATCATTTTTTTAACATTCATTTTCAACCACAAATTCTTAAATAGAATAATATTACGCACAAATTCAAAATTTTTCCACATTTTTTAAACACATATTTTCCATGAAATCATTATTTAAAATGTCTTCACCACTTCAAAACATCCATTTTATTTTCAAGCTCAAACAAACTGCTGTAAGACAATCGGAGAGTATAGGACGGCGAAGTACCCAGTTGCCGATGTCTAGAAAAACCGCCGTCAATGGATTCTTAAAATCCTCAAACCGCCACCCGAAACCTCCGCCGCTTCCTCTGCTACTCGTGGAGCCTTCGCCGTCACTTTCCAGCGTCCCCTCCGCCACCACCCAGGCTCAATTGACTCACCTCACCACCCTACTCAAAACCCACCTCAAAAAAAATCCCACCACAATCACTCCACAAGAACTTCTTCACTTCTTTAAATCCCGTGTGCGCCATAACCCGATTCTCAGCCACCTAGATTTCCATCTCTTCCGCTTTGTCGCTACCTTCGACTCCTTCCGTCACGACCACTCCACTTTCGAGTACATGGCCCGCTCTTTAATTTCCTCTAACCGCCTCGACTTCCTTGCATCGCTCCTCCAGTTCATCGCTGCCAATCCTTGCCCGTGTTCCGACGGTATCTTCTCCTGTCCTAGCACTGAGCCAATTTTCCGGGTTTCTATTAGTTCATTTTGTAGGATTGGTAGATTTGATGATGCACTCTTTGCTTTTGGTACTATGAAAAGGTTAATAGATGGCAAGCCTAATGTTGCTTTGTATAATATTATGATTCACGGGTTTGTAAAGTATGGAAAATTGGACAACGCGGTAGAGTTTTATGATAGGATGATTAGAGACCGGGTGAAGCATGATGTCATTACTTTTAATACTTTGATTAATGGGTATTGTAGGAATATTTGGGATGGTGCACGAGATGACTGAACTGGGGTGTGAGTTCTCGGGCGTGACCTGTGAGATTTTGGTTGACGGGCTTTGTCAAAGGGGTAAAGAAACTGATGCGTGTGATTTGATTCTTGATCTTTCTAGAAAAGTGGTTTTGCCTAAAGGGTTTGATTATTTTGGGCTGATTGAAAGTCTCTGTCAGGGTGGGAATGTGGAGAAGGCATTTGAGGTGGTCGACGAGTTTTGGAAGAAATCTAATATGCCGAGCTTGATTGCTTGTACAACTTTGATTGAGGGTTTACGGGGCGTAGGAAGGATCGATATGGCATTTAAACTAATGGAAAAGATGCTTAAAGATTGCATTGTTCCAGATAGCGTGACTTTTAATTGTCTGCTAAGTGATATGTGTCATTCTGGGAGAGTTGTGGAAGCAAATAAGTTGAGATTGTTGGCTTCCAGCAAAGGCTTGGAACCTGATGGTATGACTTACAGGATTTTGATTTCAGGTTATTCAAAGGAAAACAGAAGGAAGGAGGGGGAAGTTATGTTGGATGAGATGCTGGATAGAGGGTTTATTTCTGATATTACTACCTACAATAGATTGATGGATGGACTTGGCAAAGCAAAAAAGCCATCTTGATTAATTAGAAAATGTTAATGTGGAAACATGATGAATTTACATTGTGGCCTGAGAGTTTTGACTTAATGGAAACTCATGCAACTGCCTTGGAAGAAGCTGATTTACATTTACCTTGAAGAGTTGCAAGATGGTAATGTAATTTGTATGTTTAACTTTATATTTCATAATTCTGATTTAATTGTCTGAAATATAAAGATTTATGTAGCTTTGTTCTACCACATCTTAGCAGGGGGCAGCTGATTGGCAGTTCTTAGCATATGTTCAGTAGAAAAAGTTTATTTGATGGAGTTCAGCAAATATTAGTTTTGTAATGACGACCTGTGGTATGAAATTGCATCCTCTTCATCATGTAAATTGTTTATACATTACTACTGTTGGGTTCAATGTCAATATTTTGCTGGAGGCATTGACTGAACGACCCTGTTTGTAATTTTTTAGGAGGAAAGGTGCTTGTAAGTTGTAAGAACTTTGTTCTTATAAGCCCTCTTAATAATCTATGAGATCCTAGAGATTCTTCAACAAATTAAAAGTGTTTATCATGATCCCATCACAAAAATAAGTTACCCTAACTTGTTTCTGAGGCACCAGAAGCACGTAAAGTGCTTATAAGCAATGCAAAACACTTGAAAATGTTTATAAAAGCACTAGAAGGCTTATAAACTATTCACTCAAGGAACCTATAGGCACTTAAAGTGCTTATAAGCCAATCAAAACACTTGAAAATGGTTATAAGTACACGAATGATTGACATAAAATGCTTAGAAACCCACAGCGCTTATAAGCGATTCCAAACACCCTGCTACAAGAAGGGCCTTATAAGCGTATTGGACTAAATTGCACTGAAGGTAGTTGAAGATATCAAAAATGACAAGTATGTGAAAATTTTAAAACGCAAGCCAAAGAAGTACGAACTACATTTCTATCACCATTTAATTAAGAATGCAAACTGATTTGAAGCTTTTTCCGAAATGAAATCTATTACTGTTAAGAGAATGTTACACTATGTAGGCCCAAGACAGGCCTGTAGGCAAACAAGCTCACACGTAAACGTCTAGTATAATAAAGTTTGCCAAGTATCGCTGCATGAATAAAAATTGAAATGGAAGCAGGGAGATGGTGATTCTGTACTGGTAATTTCAGTGTCATTATGGTTGGAATCTGTTTGACGTAATATTTAGACGAACATATTAGCCTCTAGATATTCATGCTTGTATGAGTTGCAGAATAAAATTGTTTCACTTCAAGCTTTGAATGGATTGATTTGTCAAATGTTAGTATATCTTGCTCATCATCGATTACTTCCGTGATTATTAATGATGTCTTCTAACGGCCAGGCTTTTACATCCCACTACAAACTTAAAAGCCAAGTAGCTGCAGGAATAATTCCATCTAGAATTTGGTACTAAGGATGCATTCAGGAATTCAATTATTCTGCTGTGAGTCATTAAGAGATTTATATTAAACTCACTCAATTCTCTTGTTTTTGGACCTATATTTGCTCGTTTCTGAATTATTTGAAAAGAGAGAAAAAAAAAAAGTGTTGTCTTTCGTTGATTTTTCAGATGTTGCTTCAAGTATTTCATTTTTTTTTCTCAGGTCAAACTTGTCTCTTGGTGGGCAATAGGGAAAAAAAAAAGTCAAGCAACAAGATCTTGGTAGAGTTGTTGGCTATGCTTCTTGTAATATAGGATAATAAATGTCGCTGATTTATGTTCTATAATTTGTAAGGATCATTGCAAAATGCTTAGGTTAGGGAGTCCTTCATTCAAGTCCTCATTCTTGATGGATTCGAAGTTGAAATTTTTCATATTTTGATGCCAAAATTTGATTTATTCTGCGTTGGAGATTATAAGTTGTAATGCAATTTGTTTATCAAGTTGGTTGGTTATTTAAGAGAAATGACAGTTACTAGTTTACGCGACCATTGTTCGTACACAGTTCTCGACAAGCTAGTTGTATTAGCCTGAATCGAAACTATCTGTACGGGTCTAGCTATTTTTTTTACAAGAATGATTTGAAACACATTTTTCATTTATTGGAAAGAGAAGATAGTTGTGATTATACGGAGAAACTCATTACCAAATGAGAAATCTAACTTTTCAACATCAAAAACAAAGAAAAAAAGTTAGGCGAACATATCATTTCATGCTAGAATCCAAGTGCAAAACCTCGAATGCTTACTGACAGAATTTGTAGGCGAAGGAATAAAAATCCAGAGGATTTTACTTTGAAGCCAAAGGATATACAGGCAATGCTACCTAGGAATGGAAATTACTCTGTGTCACAAGAAAACTGCTGCTCAAGATCTCTTATTTCGGTTCAATTACTAACAGAGGCAATGCATGTTACTACCAAGGTACGCCCCAAATCAGCCAAGGCAATGGTGCTGGCACACACGAAAACCGCATGCAAGCAGAGAGTATAATCCAAACTGTATTCACTGAAGCTTTGATATGCGAGAACAGTTGGAACATTCATCAAATGAAGTACTTCACCATCTGAACTTCCTTTTGCTTGAAACCAGATTTCTCATAAAATGGTCTGCTATCAATACTGCAATCAAGAATCACCTTGTTGTCCACCCAGTTAATCGAGCATGATCAGATAGGAACTCAATTATCTTCTTCCCTAATTGCTTGCCTCGAATACTGGAATCTACCACATCTTCTATATGACCAACTTTGCCACAATTCCTTACAAATTTCTTTTCAACAAACACACTCCCAGTGGCAACAATCTTTCCTGATTTGTCATCTTCTATTACACATACAAGAGGGTCATCCCCATATTTAGTGAGCTCTTGAAATTGTTCTTGGAATCTCTCATTAGAGACAAGCGCAAATAGTAAGCTGTTGAAGCAGTTCGATGAAGCCCTTGTTATTGTCTGAGATTTCCAGTTTTCTAACCCGGAATATCTCTTCTTCTGCAGAAGAGTTAGCGGTGTGCATCCTTTTGTCAAATCAACCTCAGATTCTGATAGTTAATAAAAAAACAAATTACTTAGCAGAGAGGATGAGATTGCTGAGGACCAATGAAAGGAACGTACATGGCAAGCCACAAAACAAAATGATGTTCTCATTACAACCTTAATCATAAGTAATTAAAGTGTAAAATACTTAACTTAGCAGTTACCAGATCTTATTTAAGAAGATGGCATCAGAAGATTCGTTAAATCATTATTTACTTCTGCTCGTCCAGTATATATAACCTAAGGGGTTGATAGAGCTGGCCTAACAACTTCCCATGACCAGAGGAAGGGGCAGGGAGGGCTTTGTAGGGCCTAGGGTGTCTCTAATTTATAGACAAGCCTTGAAGGCTGGCCATTCATGACCACATCGCAAAATAAAAATTAAAAAGAAAATCGGAACCTAGATTGTCCAAAAAAATTAGAAAGTCTACCGGGTTACGAGTGATGATCATAGTTAAACCATGGTGACATACAGATGGATCTTGCATTATCTATGAACCCGTAGCTACAACAATGAACATGTTAAACTTTACAAACATACAGTTTGAAATCTATGGTAACAACTCCATGTCCAACCAAGCAGATTAATTTTTTCTGATATCAATGATGTCCAAAACCTCCTTCTAACATAGAAATCGCCCATTGTGAAATTTCCGATCATAGTTGGTGAGTGCAAAATTAATGATATAGTATGGATGCATAAAAAAAATTAGCCACACAGTAATTAGTTAGGAATTAGAACGAGGGAATAACTAGTAGTTCAGATGGTAATTATTACTAGGGGGGCTTAGTTTGAGATCAAATATGTAAACATTCATCAAACATGTAGCAGGGAATGCATAACAACTTAGAAATTCATAACAGAAACGTGAGAGGAACTTTAATTCTAGCATTTAGTGCTGAGAAATTCACCAGTGAAACTAAAGATAAAAATATTAATAAATTTTTTCACGTAACAGTTGGGTTTTGGGTTGAGAGTTGCAATAGCTAAGAAAGAGATGGGTTACCTGGACAGGCTCTCCAATTAACCAACCGTGCAAAGGAAAAATTGCACAGCTAAATAAGAATAATATACTCTTTAGTCTATTGTACACCTCTACATGACATGCCCAGCTCCTTTTTAGTGCAGCTCCTGCCACCCTCAAAAGAATTTCATGCACATCATCGCCACCCACAAAAACCTCTCATGTGATCCCATTATTCCCACCTTTACTTGGTCTGAGGGGTAGATTGGTTAAGCCAATTTGACCCTTTCCTTTTCAGCTTTAAGGAAAGCTGCATCAGGTTTTATATTGATGGCAAGGATGTTTTATTGACTACCTCATAGTAACTTAGAAATGGTCGCTTGTAGGCATATGAGTAAAACGGATACGTCAACAAGAATATGGGATAATGGGACAACTGTATGCAATACAAGAGGAAGTTACATATAATACTCCCACAGAATTACAAGCAGTGTTAGCTGTATTCCAAGATGTTTTTGCTGAACTAAAGGGCTTACTGACTGAGAGAGTCCATGATCATCATTCCTCTTAAAGAAGGGGCTGAACCCTTAAAAATGAGGCCAACAGAGATAGAACAAACGGTGAAAGACATGCTTGACAGTGGGATTATTAAGTCAAGTAACAGCTCATTTGCCTCTCCAGTGCTGCTAGTGAAGAAGAAAGATGGCACTTGGAGGTTTTGTGTGGACTCCAGACAACTCAACCAACTCACGATTAAAGATAAGTTCACTATTCCCCTTATTAACGAGTTTGATAGATGAGCTTTATAGATCAAAATTCTTTTCTAAGATTGACTTAGGAATGGCTACCATCAAATCTGGAAGTGTACACAAAACTGCCCTTAAAACACATAAAGGCCTGTATGAATTTAGAATGATGCATTTTAGCCTTGCTAATGCACCAGCAACTTTTCAATTTATTATGACTGAAATATTTCAACTACAACTGAGGAAATATGTTTTAGTGTTATAGATAGTAAACATATGGAAAGCCACAGTGGACACCTGAGACAAGTATTGGACACTGAGGCATCATCAACTGTTTGCTAAGCTCAGTAAGTGCTCATTTGGGCAGTTGCAGGTGGAGTACCTGTGACACATCATATGGCTTGCTGGGGTTTCTGCAGATCCAAAAAGTGGAATCAATGACATCATGGCCAAGACCTTCAAATGTGAATCAGCTTACAGGAATTATGGTGTTAACTTGTCACTATAGAAAGTTTTTAAGGGTATATGGTGCATTGGCAAAGGTTTGCTGAACTTGTTAAAAGGGACAACTTTGAGTGGAATGAATTTGCAGAGTCTGCTTTCCAAAACCACAAATAGGCCATGAGCACTACACTTCTTAGCTCTACCAAACTTTGAAATACCCTTCATCTAGGAAACCAACGCATGTCATGGTGGGATGGGTGCTGTGTTGATGCAAGAAAGAGGTCAATAGCCTACCTCGAACAAGGCCATTGCTCTAAAAAATCTTGGTATGTCTGTATATGAAAAAGAGCTATTGGCATTAGTGACTGGAGATATTAATTAGAAGACCATCACTTTATTATCAAAATAGACCACCAGTTATTGAAGTATCTATTAGAACAAAGGATCACAACACCCTTTTAGAAGAAATGGCTTACCAAATTATTGGGGTTGGATTATGAGATACAGTATAAAAAAGGAGTAGACAATTTGGTAGCCTGCACTTTCCAGAAGGGAAGGAATTGAGGGAGATTTAAGGCCTTGCAGTAGTGGTGCCATCTTGGTGTAAGGGCTCAATGGGAGTAATGAGGGTGATCAAACGGCTCAGAAGAAGATACAAGCATTATTGTTGGATAGTGATGCAGTCCGAGATTTCATATATATGAATGGGGTACTCAGGTTCAAAAATAAACCAGTACAATGATAGCCAAACAACATTTTTATTGGCTTGTGATTACTAAAGATATTAGGACAGAGGTACTTCAATGTGATACATGCAAGAAATGCAAAGATGAGCACGTGTCATATCCTAGTTCACTACAACCTTTACCTGAGTCTAAAGGACCTTGGAGTCATATCTCACAAGATTTCGTTGAAGGGCTGCCTTTATCTGAAGGCAAAAATGTTATTTGGTAGTTATTGACAGATTCACAAAGTATGCCCATTTTCTGACCTCGGCACAACCTTTTACAGCAAAGAAAGTAGCCAAGTTGTTCTTAGACAATATTTGTAAGCTGCATGGTTTACCTTATAGTATCATTTCAGATAGAGAGAATATTCGCAAGCTCTCTCTGCAGGAATTATTCAAAATTTTAGGAACACAACTTTACCTCAGTTCAGCCTACCATCCACAGACTGATGTCCGAACTGAGAGGTTGAACTAGTGTCTTTAGATGTACCTTAGGTGTATGACACGTATGAAACCAAGTGGGCCAAATGGATCACAACGGCTGAGTTGGGCTTCAAAATTTCATTTAGTTATCAAAATGTCTCCTTTCCAAGCTCTATATGGCATGGTACCTCCTCAGTTGGCTATTGGCCCTTATCAGCAAACAGATGTAGCTGCAGTAGAAGAGATGGCACAACGAAGGTATAGATTGGACCAGTTACTCAGAGATAATTTGGCTAAGGCAAGAACTCAAATGAAATGGTATGTGCATAAGCATAGAACTGAGAGGGTTTTTCAAGTTGGTGATTGGTTATTCCTTAAGCTACACCCCTATCAACAACCATCAGTCTCAAAGAGTATCAATTAGAAGCTGAGTCTTAGATTCTATGGGCATATCAGATTGTTAACAAAATTAGTGAGGTTTCTTATCAGCTGGCTCTTCTACCTGTTGGAAATGTGTATCGAAAATTCGTTATTTGGTGAATGAGAAATTAAGCCAAATTTGAGCCCTTGAATTGTTTAAATCGTATAGAATATTCTAGAATATTCTAGAAAATATGATGAAAAGATGTGTCTTTTCATATAGATCATGACTCTTAGAGATCATGACTTTTGGTATTATTTTTCAATAATTATCTCTTTATGTAGAGATGTAATTGTGTCTCCTTATGGAGAGATATAAATTTTAAGAGACGTGTCTCTTAGTTTGGCTTTTCCAACTATTATATAAGAACCCATGTGTGTGGATTTTATAATTTAATTCATATCATTTTTTTCATATCATGTTGCATAAAATACTTTGTAGAAGTAATCTTTTGTACAAAAAGTCATGGTCATGGAATAGAGGGAATTCCGTTCGAATTCATTGATCTAAACCATTTGGAGTGCTCCTATGACTAGACGTGGTCGTTGGTTGTATCTTGGGAGATGATTGTCAAAAAACCGTTAGCACCGATGCGGGTCAAATTCATCTTAAGAAGAAAGTATCCAACAATTGCTTCGGCCAAATCGCATCACTTTCACAATTTCTTCGTTTATCTTTCTAGTTTACGTTTGATTTCAAAATCTGATCTAATTTATTTATATGTTTATATTGCAAGGAGAACTTTTGAAGAAAGTTATCATTCAAGAATAGAAATGGACGAATCTATATTCATGTGTTCGGATGCAGTTTTGATAAGTTGAGATTACGTCTCGACTTCATGGTACGTTTTATGAATTATGCACAATATCGGTGTATTATCCCAACACTACCCACATCCAGAATTCACCCTTCTTTCCATGTCCGTCTGTAGGAAAAGAAGGTTGGAGACGGCCATAGCAGTTGCTCAATTACCAGAAATTGATAAATATGGAAATTGTTGAAACACAGCAAAGGTAATTCAGATTAGGGTCATTAAGAAGGGTAAAAAAGTCGGTACTCAGTGGTTAGTACATTGGCAAGATATAGCAGAAGAAGAAGCCACTTGGGAAGAAGATCAACTGGTTCAAAATAAGTTTCCTACTTTTGAACCTTTGGGACAAGGTTCATTAAGCAGGGGGGTTGTCATGAACCGACAGACAATATGCTAAAAACTTGAGGAAACAAAGGAACAGGTCAGGAGCTGGGAGCTTGGGGAAGCAAAGGCAGAAGGATCAACTGTCATAACCAGAATCAGAAATGAAGTTATATGACGCTGTTTGGCAATTGTTTATTTTACTTACATTTCCTTGTTTTTACGTTTTTGAAAATTGTAATAGCCAACACGTTTTTCTTATAACAGAACATAAATATGAGGTGGAAGAGAGAGGTGGGCATGATTGTGATGAAATACGTAGTACTTTCAGGCTCTCATCCTTGAATATCTCTGAAACCTTCGCCAAAATCTCTTCTTATCTCCTTTCTTGATTTTAATCATCATCATCATCATCTTCAATTTTACCTGGGTTTCCAGTGAACTTGTCCAACTTCCCAGTTTAGTGATGTGTTAAGAGTGAATACTTCTCTATTACAACTTCACTCCTAAGTAAAAGGGGGAGATCGTATTGTAACTATAGTCTATAAATCTGAGATGAAATCTGAACCTCAGACCTTGCAATAAAATACACGGATTCATCAAGTGTAATTGTTTAGTGTTTACGTCAACTATTTTTATTCTTTAACGAAGATTACCATCAAG